TAGTGCGTCTGAGGTCTTTGACTACACTGTACGAGGTAGACAAGATAGTTTACACTAATGAGATGAGTTATGGTGAACATCTGTTTTTATATGCCTGCTGTCCTGGGCCACATGGCATTAGTTTGAAGTCTGGGGGCTGGAGACTATGTTAGTCATCGAGGACTGTGTGCCCACATAACTGATCCCCAATAAAACGCCTGCACACCAAGGATCAGGTGAGCTTCCCTTCACACATAGTGTCACATTTCATCACCAGAAAAATTAAGCCCTGTCCTTGTGACTCCACTGAGACAGGATAACGAAGTTTGGGTCTGGTTTCTCCTGGCACCGCATCCTGGGTACTTTTTCCTTTGGCTGATTCTGATCTGTACCCTTTTGCTGTAGTGAGTCCTTCTAGCAAACCCAGTCTGAGCTTGGTCTTGGAGACCCCAGCACGTCCACTCACTGGATGCTATCCGTATACCCTCGGTCAAATGAACTCACCTCACTTAGTTCCATGTTCCTCATCTGTAAATGGGGAAGATGATGATGATGATGATAGTGACCGTGTAGTGGAGATGTTGCACCCAACCTATACTTTATCTTATCCACAAGCATAACTTGAGAGTCACTAGAGAAATTCTAGGAAACTATAAAGTGTCAGCACACAACATACCCACAATGAAAGAGTTCCCTTAAGCAATCTCTTTAGCAAGTTCTCGCATCTCCCCTCTCCTGACACCCCAAGATATAATGTTTTTGAACTAGGAGATCTAAGTTCAACTAGTCCATTGTTTTCGCCCCTCTTGGAATCATTCTCCCTGATAGAGAAGTAGGCAAAATAGGGGCTTTGCTTGGCCTGTGTCAGCCTATTGGCCTCAAGCAGTAAATCGATCTCTTTCTTGATCTCATTTTAAAATTTCTTTTTATTTTCTTTTGCTGTCTCTGGGATTTTCTTTTACTGTCTCTGGGATTTTCTGTTTCCTATTCCCAGATCATTTGGGCTTTAGCCTTTCCGGCCTTCTTCCTACATGTTTGTGATACTTTCTAGTATTCATGTTTTATTAGCTACTCTTCCTTCACTTTTTTCCTGTTTATTGAATTTATTGGGGTGACACTGGTTAACAAAATTATACAGGTTTCAGTGCCCAATTCCACAACACATCATCTGTACACTGTATTGTGGGTTCACCATCCCAAGTCAAGTCTCCGTCCATCACCATTTATCCCCCCATACCCTCTTCCCCCCCCACTTCCTCCAGCAATAACCACACTGTTGTCTGTGTGCATGAGTTTTTCCTTTTTTCTCAATCCCTTCACCCCACCCCCTACCAGCTGTCCTGTAAAGCATTATGCTAAGTGAAATCGGTCAGTCAGAGAAAGACAACTACCATACAATTTCACTCATATTTGGAATCTAATGAACAAAATAAACTAACAAGCCAAATAGAGACAGACTCATAGAGAGAAGACTGACAAGTCCACCTTCCTTTAAAAAAAGTATTTGCTTAATTTAAAAATGCATTTTATTGATACCATTTTTCCTATTTTTAAAATAAATGTATGGTCAAAATTAAAACATTAAAAATACATTAGAAAGAAAACTTTCTTAGAAGTCTACCTCTATAAAAACCACAATATCTTTCCTTTAGATATATAAGCTCACAGCAGAGCTCCAAATGCAACCAACCCCAGGTTCCTTTACTTACCTTCCCTGTTAAGATAATTCACACGGGAGGGGGCAGCGGGCTTCCTTCCGCAGCTCTCTCAAATTTCACACAATGAAACATGCCCACCGTTTCTCTGAATTTAAAAAATACCTATGCCTGTCTCAAGTCTATGGTGCAGATTTTAGCATCCCCAACATTCTTTTCTTGGTTATAACAAAAACCATTTTTGTGTTTCAGTTTTAAAATGAGGGGCTTGGACTGCATGGTGTGTAAGGTCTCATGAAGCACTGTTTTCTGCTTCTGCCCTCTCCGGGAGATTGCACAGATGAGCAACGATGGGAGAACCGGCGAAGCATCGCTTTCCCAAGCACACATGCCCGTGGCAGGGATCGGGTAAGTGTCCATGAACACAGCCGTGGAGGAGCTGGTGGCAAATCTGCATTAAAACCTTAAATTCTTATCAATTTTTGAGTCTTATTCATTAACACCCCTTGAAGGCACATGGGTAGTTGAGGGCAGCATGGAAGTTTGTCTAGAAAGTTGGAGTCGTCTTATATAGCATTAGGTAATCTTTTCTCTCTTTGCCTCAGTTCCAAACATATACAAGGAGATAAAAGCATTTGAGGCCACTTGGAATATACATGTATTATTTGGTGTGTTCGGCGCTCTACTATTCTGGGAACTGGCACTAACTCCCCTCGGTCCACATGGTTGTCTGCTGAGCTGCCGTGTTTGTTCCTCCATTTGCTCAACAACTATTTATTGACTGTTACATCTGACACTGTTCCAGGCCCTGGAGCGATGGACAAAACCTACAAAAATGCCTCATGGAGCTTACATGTTGGTGGAGGAAATACTAAATTAAACAAAATAAGTAAATATGTGGTATGTCAGATGAGATGTGCTATGGAGAAAAAATCAAGCAGGAAAGTGGGTGAGGAAAGTATAGGGCTTTCGGATGAAATGAAGTACGATGTTCTTTAAGTGTCCGGGAGTGACTTCATCTCGAATATTTTTGGAATTGGATCAAAACAGGACGGTTTAAACCAAGAATGTGGGATAAGGAGTAGAAAATTAAGCCTTTTAGGATCAAAAGAGAAGAATGAAAAAGACATAAGAAGGTTAGCATAAAAGGAGGATGTGGGGGGAGAGAGTGAATTAGAGAAAGAGAATTTTCCAGATTCTGCACAATATTCCAATGTAATTATGATGAATCATTTAAAAAATACCCTTCTGATAAAATCCTGAGCTGGTATGAATCATTTCCGTCACCCCCCACCAAACAGTCCTAACTCGTACACACATTAAGTATGAGAATCTGTGAATTCGAGGCTTGTCCAACGTCGAAGATATCGGTTGCTTCAGAAAATTAGAGCTTGGTGCTTCTGATGCCAAGAATACAGGCTTGACAGCAGAGTAGAATTAATTTGCTGTTCTCTAGCATTCCAGAAATAAAATGTGCAAGAAATATCCATTTGTTTTCTTTTTAATCAAATTAACTCTGATTCTGTACTGGGCTTGTGGAAGATTCAAATGGAAGCATTATTTCTCACCCCTCGTTCTGTACCCCCCTCCATTCTCCACACCCCAGACTCACAGCAGAATTAGGGAAGCTTACCGATGTCTAGACACTGGGTAAAAGCTCTCTAATCTCCAAGTTATCATTGCTCAAGTGTGCTTTAAACTTTCTCTTACAGTCCCTGGAGCTCTGCTTCTATGCCAAGGGGAGAGCACAGAAATCTTTGCTGAAGCTGAAAGGATGCTTTGCTCCCTACAGTGCAGCCAAGCCATCCCGTCTGAAGTCATGCTACCTGGAAAACCTTGAAGTAGGCTCAGATATTCACTAACCCTGGGACCTGTCAATCTTTCAGTTTCTCTCTCCATATCCTCGAAATAAGTATCTCCTCTTCTGCCCGTCACAACCATGCATAATGTTTTCACTTAGCTTAGACTTTTACAATAGACCACAAAAGTAAGGGATTTCCTTTTAAGAATTTCTGCTCCTTTTCATCCTGCAAAAACTCCCCAAAGATTTTCCCCCCTGCTTTTCTTTTTGTGGTACAATATGCATAAAGGTTCCCATTTTCACCAACGTACAGTTCTGTGGCTTTAAGTACATTTGCATTGTTTTACACCCCAACGTTTTAATGAGCGTATAGTGATCTGATTGAAATGGGGAATGGGGAAAATATAGGAAGAAATAAATACTGTTCTAAAACTATTGTTTTTTTCCATGTATTTGCTGAATTTCAAAAGGGGTCCCCTAATTGGTGAATCTGAGAAGCTAAGAGCCATAATTAAGATACTAGATATTAATGTGCAAGAGGATGAGGAGGAAGGGTGGCTGGAAGGAAACTTGGGGAAACAATGAAGAAAAATCTTATCTGTCTGACAATACTCATACCGTGATTTAATGCATCTAGAGCAGAGGTAAAATGAGGAATTTTTCTCCACTCTGCCTTGTGTCAGGATCAGAACCATGATCCTGAATTCTTTTGGGGAGTGAATATCTTCTAGAGGGCCTCGAGTGAAAAATAAAGCTTACTTTTATGATTTGCAATAATGCCTTTTGATAGCTAAGCAGTGTTACTGAGGGATGCAATCCACAGAAGAGTCAGACTTAAAAACCTCAGCATTAAGAAGAATTACACGTGGCTTCTGTGGGTTGGGAGGCTGGGCGGGGCGTCAAAATAAGCCCACGTGATTTAGCTTTGGCCGGGAGTTTCCTATGGGGAATTATAAGAACGTGTATCCATTTATTCATTTCCAAGTAGTTACTTAAGTGTGTGAGGCGCCCACGGACGATACAGCAGTGAACGAGGTAAACAGGCTCCTTCCTCTAATTACCTTCAGGTGAGTTTTCATTCGAACCCGTGAATCCAAGAGCACAATACATTGAATGAAACAGTGAACCAAGGGAGCCACGGTTCTTCACGAGGCTTAGCAACAGTCAGAATTTTAATTTTTAGTTTCCTATTCTTGGATGCCGGGTCCCAGTTCTGCAAGGGCGGCGGGCAGGTGGGATGTGAAAAGATTCCCCGCCGAAAATATACGCAGACTTGGTGTTTGGGTTCGGCATCTTAAGATTTGCAGTTCTAAATGATACCGATGGCGCCGAACTAACAGTACCTAAGAAGCAAACGAGATTACGGAGAAAAACCATTTACTCCATGACAGCCCTCAGAAGGAACAGCCACCGCTCAGAACAGCCCAGGAAGACGCGGGACTACAATTCCCACAAGCCTTTGCGGCCCCCTCCCAATCAGCAAAGCTTTGAAGTCTGGGAAAGATGAATGGATGTCGGGCGCACTCCGGTGGCGTCATTAGCGTGCGACTCAAGATACAAAACTGATCTGGGCTACAAAAGCATGGCAGCTGCTGAGACGGCGCTGGTGTCGTCGTCGTCTTTGGAAACCGGCCCGGCCCCAGCCCCTGAAAGTACAGGAACAGGTGCTGCCACGGCCGCCACCTCGCCAGCGACGGCTGCAGCCAGGACGGGATCCGAAGCCATGGTCTCCAAGGCCGCTTTGGCCACTAAGCTGCTGTCCTTGAGCGGCGTGTTCGCCGTGCACAAGCCCAAAGGGCCCACTTCAGCCGAGCTGCTGAATCGGCTGAAGGAGAAGCTGCTGGCAGGTACTGCAGCCGGGTGGGGACCAGGCCGAGTGGTGGCCGCGAGAGCACACGGGCTTTTTGCGCGTTCTCGGCTCAAGAGATGAAAGGAAAGGGAGAAGGACCACTGCGTTAGATCTGGACAGAAATCTGGGGCATCTCGGGCTTGGACTTGAACTCCTGTAGCCTAGTTGGCAGTTGTCGCTGTCGAGGAAACAAAACGAAGCAAACCCCACGCACACACCAATAAACCTCAGTCTTGAGCATGCAGACCGATTTTTGTGTGATCTGACCCCGGAGAAACCTTCTGTTTAGTTCACGTAGATGAACCCCACTCAAAGCAAGCAAACACCGACTCGATACCCCCAAAGTTGCATTCAAAATATGTTGGAAATGCAGATATTACTTTGTTAACCAAGATTTAAACAGTGGTTTTCACATAGCCGGCATAAGACTTGCTTAGGGTCCCTTGTACACGTGCAGATTCCTAATCCTTGTCCCCCAACCCCCACCCCGAGATTGTAATTCCAAGGGCCTGGGGTAATTTTAGGACACTATTTTAAAACTCTGGCTCCAGGTAATTCTGATGTCTAGTGTATGGACCACATTTTGAGCAAGACTAAATATAAGTTGGACACTTCTCTAAGACCTTTCTTTTTGTTTGCTTCCTCATATCCACTGAAAGAATATTAGGAAAGCCTGAAGGTTCTCACAGTCCATCTGCCTGACAGATCATTTCAGACGGTGGCATCAAGGAACCTAAGCTATATTGGACACTTAAAATAAACCAGATCTGTGCTAGACTATAGGGGTGTGAAGATGAAAGGTACTGTCTCATCCCTTAACTGAGCTGGTAGCCTAGTAATTTCTGCAGCCTTTGGTGGTAAAACTATTTAAGTAGATAAGTAAGGCCCTCCAGAGTTTGTCCCCACTTGTTTTTCCATTAAACCAGTGCAGGAACTAACTGTCTTACATTGTTTTGTATCCCCATGCAAACTTGACACTTTTTTTTAAATGCAAAAACAAATTATTCTGATAAGAATTTATTAATTAAAACGTACACAATGCAGATTAAAATGTTTATTGGCAATAGGTACCCTCTTGCAGATGTTTAATTCCAGTTTTATCTCTACTTCTTTTGTTAAACTTTTCTTATACTTTTGTTACCTGTAGAGATGGGTGATATAGGAGATGTTGAAAGAAAGAATTGCATCAAGGGTGAGCTTTGTAGTGTTATAATGTTTCCTTTCAGCAGAATTGCTGCATTCATTTGGCCTGATTTATTAGCTAAATTGAAGGTTTTGTTGTCATTGTTAATCCTCACCCGAGGATACTTTTTCCATTGATTTTTTATAGAGAGTGGAAGGGAGGGGGAGAAAGAGAGAGAGAGAAACATAAATGTGAGGAAGACACATCAATTGGTTGCCTCCCGCATGTGTCCCAGCAGGGGCCGGGAATCGAACCTGCAACCCAAGTACATGCCCTTGATTGGGAATTGTACCCATGACCCTTCAGTGCACAGGCTGATGCTCTAACCGCGGAGCTACACCGGCCAGGGCTGAAGGCTTTTCTGATTCTCAAGGTAAAGATAACCATTCTTTTTCTCAGACAGCTATCTGGTAGGATCAAAGCCATATCATGGCTTTCTGGTTAACCTGCCTCCAAGAACTGAAGTTTCATTTCGAAACTTGTTTAAAACTGATTGTGTCAGGGTAATGCTGTGCCTTCTGGAAGCCACTCACTCAGTGTAGACATTCTCATTGACACTCTCCATTTCTGTATTGCTTGTGATGGCCTATTCTGTATTTATAGTAACTAGACCAAGGCTTCCCAAATTCCTTTCTGACTGGCTATTATAATTACCTGGGGCTGTTCTTAAAGATACAGATTCCAGGGTACACATTCTAATGCCAGCCAGAGTTGACAACCACAGTCAGTGGTCATGGCCTCTATGTATTAACATTCCTTGCCTTTCCTGACATCCATTCATGTCATACTAAACTCCCTACTCTTCTTTGTCTGTTTGCATCTTTCAGAGCCTGAAACATCAGAATTTTATAGCTAGAAAAGACCTTACTAAATAGTCATCCATGAATGGTACCTGTGGGGTGAACCAAACTCCAGTATAGTAGTGGTGGTATGTCTTCGAACTTGAAAGAGGTAAATTTGGACACAAAGGGAAGACAGAAAATTCATAACCCTTCCTACTCCAAGGAATGTCCAGTTGAAAATACAAAGAGTTCGCCAAAAGTTTTCTATACACTAGTGGATGAGAGATCCATAATGGGTTGCAAGTGAAAGGGGAAGCGTTTCAGCCTAGGTCAGGCCTTACAGGTTTCTATGAGAGCGGTCAGTCAGGGCCTTCCAGGCATGGTGATGCTGTACTCAGAGAGGGGCACTGGGACTGTGGTCCAGACCCTGGGCTTCGGTCTCAGGGGGCTGGCTATTATGTGGCGAGGCTGAGCAACCCAGCATAGTGTTTTTGGCTTCTCCGCTATTGCTTTATTTTCCACCTTTTCCTTTTATTTATTTTTATTTTTTTGTCTTCTCTTTTCATTTTCTTCTGCTATATTTTCTATCTTCTTGGTGTCCGTGGTGATAAGGAAGGTTTGGTGGGCTTGGGTGGTATGGATCAATACGGCTGTTCCTGCTTCTCCCCTTTCTTACTTAAAGTCCAGTAGCCAATATTCTTTTCAATATATTCTTATATGCCATAATAATAACAACAACTATCTACTATTAGAGTGTTTGTCACTTCCAAAGCATGCTCAGATAACATTATTTCAATCTACCTTTGCAATAGGAATATGAGAGAGACCAGATTGACATCCTTTTTTTTTTTTAACTTTAAATGCTTCAGAGATTAAGAGGCAACGTAACTGTTACCTACTTCCCACATAATCTTTTGTTGAGATTTGCTTCTTTAAGGAATTAGGAGTTTTGGTTAGGAGAGGAGGATAATGAATGCAGATAGTTTGAGGACTTGGTGTTTTTAGCAGTAGCCCTGTATGAGATGTACTCACATTGAGTCGTGGGGTTACTGGCAAAGACCACTAGGAATCAAAAGAGGTTTAGAAGTGAAACTAAGGACGTTTAAAACTAGCTGTGTATATGACAACTGCCTTCTTTTCATCATTCTCTAACAGCCCACTTCTACCAGCAGTTGACAAGATTTTTATGGGTTAGCCTGGATATTTACCCACTTTTTTAAAATGTTATTTTTCCCGATGAGAAAATGAATTCTAGTTCCTAGACCACTAATTTTGGAATACTGTATTTTTGTAATTTCAGGAGTACTGTATCTGTATATTTTTAAAAACCCATTCTTTGCCAGTACTGTCACAATCTAAATATGTGAAGTTTGTATAATTTTTAAAATTGTTTTAATACCCTCCCCCATTTTTATGAAGATTCTACTTCATCATCTTGGTATTGGTAATTACATTTTTCACCCCAATTGCTCTCCTAGAAGCTGGAATGCCTTCTCCAGAATGGACCAAGAGGAAGAAGCAGACTTTGAAAATTGGGCACGGAGGGACTCTAGACAGTGCAGCCGGAGGCGTTCTAGGTAAGAGACGTGAACGGAAGTTTAAAGTAACTTTCACTTACTAAGAAAGAAATATTTATTGAGCACAGATAAAATGAAGATAAGACAAAGCCACGCCTTTTTCCATCAACTGGCATATTTCGGATCTAATGGCTTTATAGCGCCATCTTCTACAGAAGCTGTAAATGGCGTGGGTTGTATAAAGCTATTCCAAATAGCCACGTTTGTGTGGCCAGGACTTGGAGAAGGGGTTTGTATGTGTGCAGCAAAGAGTTAACATCAGCAGGCCCCAAATAAAAATATTTAGAAAGTCTGCTAAGAGAGCTTGCCCTTGGCTGGCACCTGGGAACTTGGATTTTGGGGAGTATTCCCACCCTTCTCTATCTGATAGGGGTTGTTTATTTGGCCTTGACTGTGTGAGAAGTGTGTTTATACTGAACACCTGCTCTTCTTCGAGTCTAGAACTTTGTCCCCCACACAAGCAGAGGATGCCTGAGTGACCAACCGTCTCGTCTCCCTGCAATGAAAACTTGGGGTGCTGAGTTTCTGATGAGTTTCTTGGAGCAGGGAAATTGCATACATGTTATTGCTTTGTCCATTGTTGGAGAAGGGCACGCACCCCAGTGTCCCCTGCACCCTCGTGGGAGAGAGAATGAGGATGCCTGTGCATGGGTTTCTCCAGTGTCTTCCCCTCTGACACAGCTGTGTAACTTTCCTGTCACCGTGGTACATCTCAGCCATGTGTGACTCCCAGCGTGGAGTGGTCGTGGGGACTCCAATCTAAGTATAAGGCTTTGTTGTTTTTTTGTGTGTGTGTTTTTTTAACTTTTGGGCCTATTTAGAATCTAATCTCTGAGATCAGCTCTCTTGAAAAGATGAATCTAATAGTTCCTGAGAGAAAGTCACTTTCTCTTGGAGACATATTCGTTGAGCATTTTATTGCTTGTGGAGGAAAATCAGTAGAATTGATTGAGGAGAGAAAAATAATTTCTTTCTTTCTTTGCATCAGGTAGAGGCTTTGAAGTCTACCTTTATAGACTACTGAAATGTGTATCAACAGGCTGGAGATATTTTACAAACTTTTTCTGTAACTGCATTCATTGTCACTGAAATACATACATTGGGGTTCCCCTCCTCTCCCCCTTCCCCACTAGAAACAAACTTTTATGGAACAATACTTAGATGCTCTGGTGTTTCGTACTTTATTCTGTTTCCTTTTTTAAATGCTGATTATAATCCACTAAATTGATTTCATGATGCACTAATGGGTTGTGACTCATGGTTGGTAAGTGTGCTACAGTATCCAATACATTCTGTTAGAGCTGAGCTTAGATACAAACAAACAACAATGAACCTGATCTGAGTGATCCAAAGGAAATGAGTACTTATTTAGAAGAAAATGATAAAAATTGGCGAGGGAAATTATATTTTTCAGAAAAATTAGAAACAAGGTATGATTTTGAATTTTCTAAAATTATAGATTTTTTCATTCATATTGGCAAAATATATTTACTTTGAGGTTAAAATGGAAGCAAGCACAAGAAAATCCATTTTCCTGAATTAGAGAATTTGAAGAGACAAATTCTGACAATTTAATGTTACTATTTTTAACTAATGAAAGCCATTTATTTGTGAAACACTTTGTATTTAGGACATTCATAAATTATATACTTCATTCCTTATTATAAATCTATAGGTATTATTATCCCATTTTATAAAATAAATGAAGACCCCAGAGATAAAGTAACATGTGCACGGTCATAGTGAGTGGCCAAGTCAGGATTTGAACTCAGGCCTGCTCGGTTCCAAAGCCATTGCCCTAATCTAGGATGGCAAATACCTGGCACTCTTGCCTTTGTTTCCTTCTTCCCATCATGGAATTGCCAGTCAGTTGCATCACTCTTTGCCATTGGTCCCAGATGTGGCTTCACTGTTCCTATCAGCTCAGAACTCCTTGAGTTGAAGCCTGTTTGCTCTAATCATTCTGTCCTACTGTTTTCCAAGGCACAACACCGTAAGTACAAAAAGAGAGAGGATAAAGTCTGCTTCTTATTTGTGAATAGACCAATTGCATTACTTTCTGGTGGTTATTAGTCACTGGTATGTAAAAAGTAGTGATATTCAAGGCAGTCAATTAAATAAGTTTATTTTTAGCCCTAAACCTAAAGGATCTTCTAGTTTAGTATTGTGAAGGGTGGCACTTGGCTGAGATTTGTATGAGTGGAAGAGGTCATATTGGAAATAAATTTTCATTTGGAGGCTTAATTTATATTTGAGCACCCAGGGACTTTTATAATGATATAATATGATGATATCATTTATCATGATGATATAATTTATGTTCATATGTCAAATTTATTATTTTTTCTTCTAAAACTGATAAAGAATAAAGTTTTCAGTGAGGAATAAAGTTAAAACAAAAAAATTGGTATTTAGTCACTAATTAAGGAGTATTTGTTGGTCTAAGTTAGTATTTCTAGAAACTGTTAAGATAAGTTGATTTTTGGGCTCTAATCTTACATGAGTGTGTGTACTGACTGCTTTTTGTACTAACTATATACACCCTGGGCCAATCCCATAACCTTGATGAATCCTCATTTCTTCATCTATTTTTCTGTTTTTTAATATCTGCTAAGGGTTTTTTTGTTTGTTTGTTTGTTTTGTTTTTAAATTGATTTTAGAGAGAGAGAAACATCAATCAGTTGCCTCCCTTACGTGACCTGGACTGGGATTGAACCCTCAACTTAGGTATGTGCTCTGACCAAGAATCGAACCTGCTACCGTCTGGTGCACAGGATGACACTCCAGCCAACTGAGCCTCGCAGGCTCGGGCTTAGTTTCTTCATCTTTTAAAGAGGGGTAATATCTACCATAACTCAGAAGGTTTATTGAAGTATCTTATGAAATATCTATAATATAGAGATATATACTGTACTCTGTAAAGTACTTTATAAAAATCATTAAAAAAAAAGCCAGACCTGTGTGACAAAATATACTTTTACTTTAAACATTTTAGAGTTTTTTGCTTTTTTTAAAAAATAATATTAATGGTACAAATTTAAGAATTTAGTTGACAACTTAAGACATGATCTGAAATTAAGGTTTATAATTCTGTTAACCTATTGTGTGTGTGTATAAAAACACATATAACCTATGTAAGTCTATAAGGAGGGCTTGCAAAATTCTCAGAAACCCTGTGGTAGGCGGAATGATGCCCCCCTAAAGATACCCACATCCTAATTCCCGGAACCTTTGGAAATGTTGGGTTACATCATCACAAAGGGGAGTTAGAGTTGCAGGTGGAATTACTGTTTCTAATCAGCGGCTCTAAGGTAGAGCCTCCTGGGAACCTAAGTGGGCCCAGTGTAATCACAAATCAGTTGTAAAAGTGAAAGAGGAGCCCTGGCCGGTTTGGCTCACTGGTTAGAGCGTTGGCCTGCCGTCCAGAGACCCGGGTTCGGTTCCTGCTAAGGGCACGTGCCTCGGTTGCAGTTTGTCCTCTGCCCTGGTTGGGTTGTGGGGGAGGCAGCCACTCGATGTGTCCCTTTCACGTCGATGTTTCTCTCTCTCTCTTTCTGCTTCCCACTCTATCTGAACAAAAAGTGGAAAAATGTCCTCGAGCGAGGATAAAAAAAAAGTGAAAGAGGAGGCAGAAGAGGGAGAGGCATAGCAATGGGAGCAGAGGGCGGAGTGGAAGACTTGCTGGCTTTGTGTAAGGACGAGGGTCACAAGCCAAGAAACGTGATGCCTTCTGGGAGCTGGAAAGGGCAAGGAAACTCCCTAGGAGGGCCCGGAGGTGGGGAACATCTGGCCCGAGGGCCCTATAAGGCCCGAGAAATCAATACCAGCTGACATCACACGCCTCGCCCAATTCGCCTGACCATATAGCAGGCTTATTTTTATTTATTTTTTGTTTATTTTATTTATTTTTTGGTACATGCCCCTAGCGGGAACTGAACCTGGGACTCTCTGGTCCGCAGGTCGACACTCCAACCGCTGAGCCAAACCAGCCAGGGCAGCAGGCTACTTTTTAGGTTGATAATTCTGTATGGCCTGTGGATGATATAAATATCCAAATGGCCCTGGGCAGAAAAAAGGTTCTCCCGCAGGACCTCTGGAAAATAATGCAGCATGCAGAGACCTTGATTTTTAGTGGAATAAAACCCATCTAAGACTTCTGATCTCCAGAACTGCAGGAAATACATTTGTTGTTTTACCACTGAGTTGGTAAATTATACCCACTTATAAATCACTTAAACTGGAAACTAATCTTCTGTATACCACTTAAAATTTTTTCTTAACTTTAAAGGTTATAAAATCACAGTGTAGAAATTAGGAAATATAAAAAAAAGTTGAAAATAAAAGTTATCCATTTTTCACCTTCTAGTGATAATTGTTACCATTTTTGCCATGTTTCCTCATAGCTTTTTATGCAAATTTTCAAAGTTGAGCTGTTTTACTGTATGTACATTGTATCCATTTTTAACTTACATAATAACATGAGCATTTTATCATGTTAATTAAAAAACTCTTTGTAAACTTTTTTTTTTACTTTATCGAGGAAAATTTAACAAATATAGTTGTATATATTTGAAGTGATGAAATTGTTGTCTTCTCTGACCACAATGATATGAAACTAGAAATCAGTCACAGGAGGGGAGCTGGGAATTCTCAGATGTGTGGAATTGAACAGCACACTTCTGAATGATTAGTGAGTCAGAGAAGACATCAAAGGAAAATCAGAAAATACCTTGAGACAAATGAAAACGGAAGCTCAACATACCAAAACTTATGGGATGCAGCAAAAGCAGTTCTGAGAGGGAAGCAAACATTATTTTTAATAGCAGCTTGAGGGGCTGACATGTGGATAAAATACAATTGACTTAACCATCTCCCTAGTCAGAGTCATTGAAGTTACCAGAGTTGTGTTAGTGGAACTGATTTTGTGAGAAACATCTTTATGATAAAAACTTTTTCTATGGATTATTTAAGATACATTTCTCGAAGTGGAAAAATACAGATCTTTTAGGATGATTGCAAGAGTGTCTTTGACAAATGGTGGTAGACGCTTCCAACTGCAAAAAGCTTCAGAATTACATGTGTAATACCCCTGCCTGTCCTCAAGTGGCTCTCGTCATAAATAAGGTCTGTCTTTATGAGTTGAGAATAGAATCCTAGGCCATTTGGATAGGTTTGGAAATAGTGGGTGTTCTACAAAGAAACATTTGAGCACAGTACATTTGGGAGACCGAGAAAGGAAACAGACAGATCGTGAGACAGGGCTTGGAAAACCCTGTTATTCATTTATTCTCTTGATCCTGCACACATTTTCAGACGGTTGCTCCTGCTTTTCTTTCCAGATGAACATTCCCTCTGTCTTCGGTGGCAGAGGTCCTCTTGCCTTTCCGGACTCTGGATGTCAAACTCCATTCTGTCCTATGTTTTCGTTCCCTCACCGGCCGAAACCAGCTCTTCTTACTCCTGTACCTACACAACAAGCACTGCATACAATTTTGATCGATTGAATGGGAAAAATTTGAGTAAAATTTTGGTCCAGTAAACTGTCCCTTGAATGGAAGCTGCATAGTTAGCTGGGTTTCAACTCCAGGGACCACTCCTTTTAGTCTTCCTAAAATTCTGCTCTTACTAACCCCGAACTTCAGTGGCCTTGGTTTTCTCGGATACAAAGTGCGAGGGTTAACCTGGGTAATTCTAAGATACCTTCTTATTTCAAATTTTGTTATTCAGGATTACAGAACCAGCAGAGAAATCAGGTCAGCATTTCAACCACACAAAGCCACACACGCCAGCCTGCTCTGAAGGCCCCCTGCTCTCTCACTGATAGATCCAGTGTGCTCGTCCTTGTATCTTTAGGGCATGCTCCAGTCTTCTCTGTGTTCACATCCTGTACATCCTTTAAGGCCTCACCGGCCTGGTTGAGATGCTTGAATGAAGTGTTCTTCAGCCTCATCAGCCGTTTACAGTGCTCCCTCCTGTACCTGCTACAGCACTCACTTGTTCTCTGTGTTCGTTTTGACACTTCTCAGACACTATCATATTGTTATTTAGTGTTTTCACTTGTTAATTCAGGCAACCTTTTTTTTTTTAGCACTTGTGATTTCCCTTGTCTGCATTTTATTTTCCCCATGAGATTATAAGCTTTTTCAAAGTCAGAAAATGTGTTGTTCCATTCGAAGTCTTCTTGGGACTGTGCACATAGTAGCTGCTCTAGAAATGTTGTTGGGGATTCTTTTTTTTTTCCCTCACCCGAGAACATTTTTCTATTTTTTGTTCAGATAGGGTGGGAGGGAGAGAGAGAGAGAGAGAGAGAGAAACATCGACGTGAAAGGGCACATCAAGTGGCTGCCACCCACACAACCCAACCAGGGCCAGGGCCAAACTGCAACCGAGGTACATGCCCTTGACCGGATTCAAACCCTTAACTCATTGGTCCACAGGCTGATGCTCTAACCGCTGAGCCAAACCAGCCTGGGCAACAAAAATGTGCTCGCTGTGCAGTGAAGAAATGATTATATCCTCTCATCCTCACCTAGTGAAATGTGTTATTGTATGGTTAAATAATATTTGACATTGAGGAGATAGTGGGTCATTGTTGTAATATATATATATATTATTTTTTTTTTTTTCTGTGTGAGCATACATTCTCCTGGCTCTCATTTACCATGTATTCTTCTTTGCATTGGGGCATTGGGTTGATTTGTTATGTTTCTGTTTTCTTGATTGTAAACTGCTGGGCAATAATCATCTTTAAATGGTTCATTACCTATGATAATAGCTTTTGCTTTGTTTAATAATGAACTCTGTCAAAAGATTATCTTACCATGGTTAATTGTATCATGTATTTTTCACTGAAGCCCATATAAAATTCCAGTGAATCCTTTAAGATTTTTCTAAAACTTGTTATTATCTAAATGACCTGGTTGAGGTTTCTGCCATGTTTTATAGTTTAAGAAAGAAAAAAAAAGTCTCTCTTCCATTTCCTGTTTAGAATTTCTTAGCTGCATGACAAGTTCAACTGATGGGAGTAATGGGAGCCCTCACATTATGCTCAGTGTATGCTCTTTCCAACTTCACATTACATATGCCAGGAAATTATGACCAGAATATGTAGATATTTTAAAAACCTACTTTTCAGAATAGAGTCTCATAATATTTCTTTTTTTGATTTATAGTGGTTGGAATTGGAAGGGGAACAAAAATGTTGACCAGTATGTTGTCAGGGTCCAAGGTAAGAATACTGAAATAGTTCTGTTTTTCTTTTTTTCTTGAATGTTTTTCTTAATGACCATGTGTTGGATTTTATCAATTAAAAAATAAACAATATTAATTGTATGGGTGTCAGTCCTGAGTATTCAACACAATGACTGTCTATAATCATATCTGAGAATTAAAATGAGACTATAAATTGGAAAGTCAAGACTGAACAACAAATTTGATTTATAGAAGTAAAAACTCTGCAGTGCCCATCATTTAAAAAAATTATATTTAGTTTTTATATAATAATTATATTTCTTAGATGAAAAGGAACTTATAGATCATAAATTCTATTGGCAGATTTTATTAAACCTTGGAATTTTTATAGAACAAGACCATGCATTTTTTGACAAAACACACGCTTTGTTCAATGGTTGCAGATGTTTGCTAAAGAAAGGAATTGGGCTTTTTTTAAAAATAAGTTTTTATTGGTTTTTCAGAGAGAGAGAGGCAGGGGGAGAGTGATGGAAACATCCACGTGAAAGAGACACATTGATTGGCTGCCTCCTGCACGCCTCCTGCTGGGGACCCAGCCTGCCACCTGGCCTTGTGCCCTGACCGGGAATTGAACTGGGACCGACGCTCAGCCCACTGAGCCACACTGAGCCAGAAGGCCGGGCTGGGCTTCTTTAAGATGATAAGTTACATCATTCACCTATTAGAGTAGCCTTGACTTTTTGAGGCTCTTGAAGGGAGAGAGGGAAGGGGTTAGGCAGACGCCAGGGCGGCCTGAAGCCTGTGGATTGTGGCAGGCCTTCAGCGAGTGACCCTCAGGATGAAACAGCAGGGTAAAGGAGTCGGGAAGCAAAATGTCACTGTGGTTAACCTCTTGGGCTTCTCAGTTTCTTCTTAGAAAAATGATTTGATTCTCTCTAGGATCTCTTCCAGCTCTAAGAGATGATACTGTCTGTATTCTGACTAGTTACTAGGTTATAGTAGTTGAGGCTAGGGACCAGTGAAAATGTCCGTGGGAGGAAAATTAATATGCCATTAGGTAGAGAAGAATTTCAGCAAGTTCCTGGACTAAACTTTCTGTTTTAAAACCCTTGCTCTGAATCTATATATATCTCTCTATCTCTATCTCTATCTCTATCTCTATCTCTATCTCTATCTCTATCTCCATCTCCATCTCCATCTCCATCTCCATCTCCATCTCCATCTATCTATCTATGCATCTATCTATCTATGTATCTATCTGTCTAGTAAAGGACCATTTAAAAATTTTTTTCAGTTCATTGCAGACCAATTGATGACTTTTGTAAAATATAATTAACATGTTACGGCAATGTCAAACCGCTGAATAAGTTTCTAAACACCCTCATTTTCTGAAATTAATCTTGTCATGGGTATTGGACCTTGGACCACACTTTGAGTGGCAGTGGTTTAAGTAAGCTTTTTTAAAAATAAAGAGCCCTGGAGAGCTTAATGCCTTTGACATCACATTTTAGTTATTAACTGACATAAACAAACTGTCTCTTTCATTTGAAATGGATCTTAATGCCTTAGATAAATGGAAGAATTTCAGTGTGGTTTGCTCTGTAATCTTCAGAATGTTGGTGTTGAAAAGTCACAGAATACAAAAATTGTGTTAGGATGCATGAGTTTGACAGTTTTACAGTAAATTTGTATGGTTATACTTAAATACTTACACATGGAGTTTAGAATCTGTTTCTGATACATCTTTTGCCAGTTGCTTAATACATGCTAGTTAACTCCAAAATATAAGCCATAGTAATTTTGATATAGGATAATGAACAATTTTTATTTATTTTTTGACATGATTTGGTATTTTTCAAAATCTTTACAATGAACAAATGACTTTTATAATAACAAAAAAGATATATTTATATTAAGGAATTTGTTTGGGGTTTTCCAAGATAAAATATTTTGAGTTCATTGGAATATTTATTATCCACCCTCAACCACAAATATGCAAAACGCAATATATGTTATTGAAAGGTTTTACGTGTAAATTCCAGGCACATTTCCAGAAATACGATGGCTGGAAATGTAAATACATTCTTGGCTCTGCCTTAAGCTTTATTTATCACAAACCATTTTGGTATTGAACTGGGAAAGCTGAATGTCGAAATCACTGACCCTCAGTAACTTAAATAGAAAGTCCCGGGTGCATCTTATTACAGACACCTAGGTTTTGGGTACTTCACATTTCAAAAATAAGATTATTGTGTCATTAGCTACTTGTAGTATTTATACTTTTAATTTTAGATTATGTATTTGTTGAGAAATTAAATTATTTAAATTTTACCTTTAATTTTGTTGATTATATTTTTCTCAAAAACTGTTAATGAATTTTTAAAAATAGATTTTGTTTTTAGCAGTGAAAGAGATTATAGAGATCCTCTTATTCAGTAGCTTTCAAAACTTTTTTGACTAAGACCCAGAGTAAGAAGTTTATTTTGCATCATGACCCTATATATATACATGTATAAAAAAGAAATTTTTTATCAAACAACTTTAGTCCTATGTACAATGTACTCTTGATATTTTTCTTCCTATTTTATTTATTTTTTAAATGGAGTCTGTAGTCTCAAACAGAGCTGCTGTTTGACCCAATGTTTACTCTTTTGCCACGTCCTACTTATACAGATGATTTTTTATTTGCATCACAGAAAATTAGACTTGTCGTATGTGCAGGGTGGAGTTAACTCAAGAGTAGGAATATTTAATCCCAGGGTGGCAGCTGCTCGATGTTCACGTTTCGGCAGGGTCACAGTCTACCCTTTCTTTCCTCACCACACAGTTCTAATTGGAGACATTGCTGCTTGAACATGGCCTAACACGCTTTTCTGTTGAACAAAGAAACATGCTTAGAATCTTCAACATAATGCGGCTTCATACACCCACTGTAAATTAATGGGTGGAGCACTGACCTTTTCAATAAAATCTTCAGACCATTAGATTATTTTGCTTCCATTTTGAGGACCCGAGACTGTTCAGACCACCCAACTCCTTTTTCATGTTTCTTCCCATTCAGATCAGCGTCAGATTTAAGAAGAGTCTTTCTTTGTCTTCATCAGCTTCCTCTTCTCTCCTGTAGAACGGTTTGCTCTATACCAACGATCATGTTTCTCTTGCCATCTGTTCCTGCACTGCATTCTCTGCAGATTACATGTATAATGTGTATAAAAAGCATCTAGGTTTTCTATACATTGCCTTGTATACAGAAGTTGCTCACTAAATGCTGTTATGACTATTCTAAGTCCTTCGTCTATCCCCACTTCTCTCTCCTGAGTTCCAGGTCTGTTGTATCTCTTAACTACATGTCCCATGGACACCTGACACTTATTTTATCCAAACAACTTCTGTTGGACATCGTGAATACAGCTCATTTAATTCCTTTTGTTGCTAGCTGTGATTTCTGGTGGCCTAGGCAAAACATGGCCCTCCTCGGAGAGAGGAAGCATGCCGGTGCTCTAAGGGAGAGCCAGCTCTCTGGACAGTACAGTCGGAAAGAAATTTCCTAGTGAGAGATATCGAATGACAGATAGATGGTAGTTTTCAAAAGCAGTCTTGCAGCAGATGTACAGGTGCATAAAATGACTTAAGTAAAATGCCTCTGAGAGAAGTTAGGCTACTGTGTCCCTTTGGCCTGGCCTGATCCAAGAACAGAATCACAGAATGTAGATTACCTGGAGGAAGGCGGTGGACACATCACCTCTGCCATCTGCCCTAAATTATACTTTGTCTGAGCAGAAGCTGGACAGCAGATATACTTGGAAGTAACAGATTTTGATGAGGTTTGGGAGTATTTACTAGCTTTCTATATTGCTGATTCAAGTTGGTTACTTATATATGTTTTAGAAACCAGAGGAGAGACGGAAGGGTTGCTGTTCCATTATGAAATCACTGATGCCATGTAAAGACTCTGACTGGCAGTTTCTGGATAAGAGGCTGCTCCCATGTCTGTGCAGAGATGCACCATAGTAGTGCCTGTCAGCAAAGCCAGCATTATCCCCTCCAAGAGTTGAACAGGTGTGATTGTTAGGGTAGGCAAGCTCTTCCCCCTGGATGTGCCCAGAGGACAGCAAAGTGCTCCAACTACACAGTAGCATTGTCAGGGTAGCTATTCAGTGTCACTCTGAAGTGTGACTTGAAAAATGCCCCTGTGAAACGCAGCCACCTCTAAGATTTGAGCTTTTCTAACCCACTTTCTCCAGAGGTTAGTCCATGTCTACCTCTTCTTTATACTCTGTTAATACTCACACATTTCATAAGTACTTTATTGAAAGTTTTGAAGGGTTTATACTTATGAACTATAAAATGACTTGTTTTTATTGAAGACATTCAAAGCCACATGTTTTTGGCTTGGTAGTGTGGTTTTTTTTAACTGCTGTTCTTCATTCTAAATAATAGACCTTTGTTTGTGAAACTTCGAATTATAAGCTTTCAAAATCAAACTTCAGACAAAGCAGTGCCTAGTTGAAATGGGAATAATTATGTACATTGTCTGTAATGTAAACATTTTCCTCTCTTCTGGAGAGTACAGAAGCGGATTTGCTTTAAAGTTGTCTAGGTGGGGTTCGGGGAACTTGAGGGTGAGAGAAGCAGAGAATAGAATAGTATGAGTATCTACGAGAAACCACAGATCCCACAGAGCGCACAGTTCAGTGGAAACTGAAAAATCCCACAGGACCCCCATTTGTTTTGTTGGAGTGAAACAATGTTGTAATGCATTCACTATAGAATTCAGTTTCCAGATATATATACATCATTGAGTGCAAACAACTCGAAACCCTGACTCTGTATAGAATGTAGGCCAGTGGAAAGTGCTGGAGACCCATAAGGTAAAATGGGAGGATTGTGTATTCACATCCCCATATCTTTTTTTCTTCTATCCCATAACTTCTTGGTGGTGAGGCTTTGTGTCAGCTGAAGGCATAACTGTCTGGGTGGATTTTTCTAAGTAGTTTGTGGATTATTGAACAGAATTGGAAGATAGTTATTGCTGGGTGCCAAGGCAAGAGAACGCTGGAGATCAGCGATTAACTGAGATCAGTTTACAAAGCACAGCTAGGGACTCCGGAGGCTTTTCTAGGAGTCTGTGGAAGTCAAAACTATTTTCATAGCTTTGCCGGTTTCACTTGTAATCTCATAAGTACTCAGCGGAGTTTTTTAGAGGTTACCTGATGAGCGCTGATCAGGGCTCTGCTGGCTAAAGGAATGTGTGTATGTGTAGGAGTGCTTGAACAGTTTTCAGCTTTAATTTCTAATGCAGTGAATGTTGACAGAATTCATATGAAAAAAAGTGGTGCCAGGGTTTCTCAATAACTTTCAGGTGTGGACAGGGTTCTGCAAGCACAGTGCTTGCGGACTGCGGGTTTAGGTATTATTTCCCCTACCAGGAGTCCAGCATGTAGCCAGATTCAGCATGACTGCAGAATGCAGAGTGATTTGAAACTTGGCAGGTACGATCGGAATGTCCAAAACTATGGGGAAATATGAAGAATTACACACATTGGAACTTCTCCAGCATGTAAATGAAACTTTTCCATCCAGTAAGAAACACAGTAGAACAACAATGCAAAATCCAAGGTAACGGAGTTTATAATTTGGGAGGATAAGGATCAACATACAAAATGTACTTGGAAAATAATGAACATCTGTGGGTACTCATGTGCCAAGCAGTATGGCATGAGAACTCCTTAAGATAGACCACCCAGAACAGATGTTGTCACCTATCATCACCATCGTACTGTTCCCCTTTGCAGGTTACCTTTATTGATGTTCTCCTGCTACACTGTAACCTTCCAGAGGCAGGGGACTCTTTAAAATATATTTTTGTATCTCTCAAAAGCTCATAGGGGAATGTTTTGTATAGTCATGGCCCTTAAAAAATATGATTGAATGAACATACTAGTAAATGAATAAATAGATTATGTGGGTTTCATATAGGCCTTCATTTTTTTTTTTTTTTTTTGGTAAGAACTTGTATTGAGCCCTACCCTTAGCTGTGCTGTGGGGTTAGGTGACTGGAGCTGCGATGGGTAACAGGGCAGCTTTGAAAGAGGTGAGAGCCTTAGAGAAGAGAGGGAGCTCAGTGCCAAGGAAGTGCCAGGTGCCAAGCCATAGGACACTCAGTCCAGGGACTAATGAGCATTGCATACTTGGAAAGGCTCCTGGTTAAAACCATTACATAGCAGAATAGCTCAAATATGAAGTCTACTTCCTGAATGTACTGTTTTTCTTATGCAACTAGACAGACTACTAAGACAAAACTCAGAGAGAGCATTGTGTTGCTTTACTGTTCCTCAGGGAAACTCACTGTGACCAGCTGAGTCACTCTAACCACTGATACTATGAATCACTTTACCTTTTTCTTTTTCTTAGTATAGTAACAATGATAGTATTGTTTTGTATTGCTTACCAGAGCCAGGTACTGTTGTTCTAAACTCTGCTTCTTTTCAGGAGGCACTGTTAGTATCCCCGTTTTAAGATGAAGGAAGCAAGGTTCCCACAGGAAAGACTAACGTAACCTACTTTACCAGTTGGGGTGGCGTGAGGATTCAGACCTTTGAGTCTGTGCCCTTTGCCCTCACTCTGCTTCCTCGAGGCTGATGCTTCCAAAACAGAAGCAGAAGCGGGCTGTTCCACCTGATGAGACTGCAAGACTAAGTTTTGTCAATACTAATACAGATTTTAAATAGTTAGCCTGGCCTATTGGCTCAGTGGTTGAGCATCAGCCCATGCACCAAGAGGTCACTGGTTCAATTCCCGGTCAAGGCACACGCCCGGTTCTTAGAAGTTACTTTGTTCCCTTCAGAGAGCTACATAATTAGCTTTTCTTTAAATGCGTAATCAAGTTACAAAGATTAGTCTTAGTATTTCATATAAGAGGTAGTAAATAGATTTATTTTAAAATTAACTTTAGCCCTGGCTGGTTTGGTTCAGTGGTTAGAGCGTGAGCCCAAGAACCAATGAGTCACGGGTTTGATTCTGGTCAAGGGCACGTACCTCGGTTGCAATTTGTCCCTGACCCTGGTTGGGGTTGTGCGGGAGGCAGCCAGTCAATGTGTCTCTCTCACATCAATGTTTCTCTCTCTCTCCCTCCCTCTCTCTCTTCCCCCCTCTATCTGAAGATAAAGGGGAAACAAAATCCTCAGGTGAGGATTAAAAAATAAATAAAAATAGAATTAACTTTAATTGTGTGGTAAAATTGTTGAATCTTGTGATGGCCGTGTGGTGTTAGTAAAATTCTGTATGGCTTTCAGGACACACATGATAGATTTTCCTGACCTACAGCCTGAGTCTCCCCTTCTTTCTCTTCCTCTAGAGGTACGTCGCCGTGGGAGAGCTGGGGAGGGCCACAGACACGCTGGATTCCACCGGGAAAGTGACAGAAGAAAAGCCTTACGGTGTGAAGTTCATCTGAGTACTCTTTACAGCGCCTAGAGCATCTCTGAGCGCAGACTCTCCAACCTGACGTCGCCAGTGCCTTCCGCTTTCAGTACATTGTTTTCGATGGCAAATGGTTTATCACATTTTATCTAGTATGAGTTTGCGAATAGAGATTTATTATAATTACCTCCTTTTCTCTAGTCAGTTTTTATAATTTTCAGAATTCTTCCAAAATAATTTCCTTTCCAGAAACCATTTATTGCTGGGATTTAGGACATTTTCCCTGGTAAATGAGAAACAGCGCAGAGAGACTGTCTTGTTAGTCTGCCTGTGTCTTGCAGTTGTTTGTTTGCTTTACAGTTACTGCTTAGCCGTCGAGACAAATGCACCGTGTTTAGTACCGTGACACTAATGTCTCTTGGCTTTTGGAGAACAGAAAAAGATGCGACAGAGGGAAAGCCGTTTCTCTGGAAGTGAAGCAGAACTCGCTGGGGCCCACCTTAATGTTTCTACTACTCCTTTTTCTCTTCTTACTACTTTAAGAAAGGATAGATTAGTGAAATGTTTCCTAGCAACTCTCCCAGTGCTCATGCTATTTATAATGCAGCAGTTTTGTGCAGTCGGTTCACCTACATTATTAGGTTATCAATTGTGAGTTATATGTAGGCTTCTGGGTTGGTTTTTTTCTGCCTGTGTTTAGTGTTATCATTTCTTAACTTAGCCAGAGGCCATCCCGCATCTGGCTTCCCTGGGATTTCGTGCTGAGCATCCTCATCTTATACTTCATGTTGTCCCAGTACTGAGACCAACCTTTTCCTCGTTCACAGTGGCTTCACTTGACCTGTTGATGTTTATTTATATGTAGTTTAGTACCTTACTTGATTAGTCAAACAACCTACTCAAAAGAGAAACCAGTGATTTACTTTGAGCCATCTTAGAAATAAATGTTGAACTATTCTTGATGTTTTTCATTAGGAAATGCTAGCAGACCCTCACTTAATGGAAACCCAGCCCTAATCCTCAACCAGATAGTTTTTAAGAATAAAGAGGTTCAGGACACCAGGAGGCCATAAGATTTCCAAAGTGTACTCAAGTGTGTGTCATACATGTATAATTAGAAGAACGGTGAAGAAGCGAGTGGGTGAGACTCGTTGATTGGATGGGGTAGTGAGGGAGAGGAAGTGTCAACCATGACCTCGGGGTTTTAAAACTGGTTACGCGATGGTGCAGTTCATTGAGCGGGGGTTCCAGAAGAGGCCCGGGGTGATGAAAACACTTAAACATACCCTTCCTTCCTGCCCTTCATATTTTGGTATTTAAAAAACTACTCTGTATTATATAATTTGTAGCCTTATTTATTTATCTTAAAGAACATGTAATTTGATAACATCATCTCATTAAAATGTTGGAATAAGTCATGGAGAAACTAACATTCTTTAGGCCCTAAGAGGAGCTCCCTGCATTTTATGGAATAGTAGTTGTAGTCCCAGAAAGGGAGAGGTCAAAGAATTTTGCTGATTGACATGATTTTTCTGTGCGATTTCAGTAGATGCTTGATATTTGCTAAAGCTGCTGTAGCAGGTAACAAAGGGAAGATAAGAATAACACCTCGCCGGTGTCCTTCAGGACCTCTGTCTCGTGGAGAGCCAGAGCCTCGGTTCTCAAGCCCCTGAGACCTGATGCTGAGACCTTAGCCAGCACTTTGTAATGCCTTCTTACTGTCCTGAGAGAAATTCAAGGTACTCTAACCTACCTGCACGTTAAAAAAAAAAAAATCCAAGTTACACAATAAATGGAATATAAAGAATAAGTAAAGGTGATTTATAATAAAAATGGCACATCGATATGTAAGTGCACAGATATCACTACACTGAAAGTCTTAGTGACGTAGATGTTTACACTTACGCATATACCACTGTGAACGTCACAAGCACAAGTGCAAAGTGATAAGGCTGTGCTGTATGACTCAGAACTGGAAAATTCAGTATGTGAAAACAGTATGGAAAACACTGTGTTTTAAAATAGAAACTGGAGTTAGGTTCCTGCCCCAGGTGATTATAAACAGGCTTCGCACCTACGCAGACATCTGGCAGACATCCAGAAAGCATGTCGTGTGCGGGACAGTTCACTGTGCCACACCATCCTGCAAATTGCAGGAAATCTAGCGTCCCCTGTGAGGTCATGTGACAATAAAAAGTGCTGTTCTTCATTGGCCTGTTGGGAGCAGCTGGCAAAGGGGTAAAGGAACGAAGGCAGCGCAGTGAATGGCAGACTCTTCGGTCGTTTTTGCTCTGTGTAGGCAAATGCCATTTTTAGCCATCGTTTTAGATTGCTCCACGGTAGCTCCGAGGAGGGAGAAAATGAGTCCCTGGCTGAGCCGACTCAAAGTTCAAACCATAATAACTGAGCCCCTTTCCTTTATTCTCTTTCATCACACCTTCTGTTATGCCTAAGTAGTGTTTTTCACCATTTATAAATACATATTTGCGTGTCAATCCCTGAGCGGTGGGGCTGAGACCATGTCTCTTTTGGTCCTCACTGTGGCTTGGTTTCCAGAACAGTGTGTGACATACAGAGCACAACGTTTAGTCTAGGAATACATAGGACAGGCAGACAAGGAAGGTGACTGCCAGTTAAGTCCCCGGAGAGGCAGAGCATCTTCCTACCTTCTGCTGCACTTTCTCATCCACATCTATTAAGTATCAAGATACCGAGTCTCAGGTACCATTGCCAGTGTCTTTCAGGACATGCCTTCATTGTGCTCATCATTTGGCCACTGAGCTCAGGGCACTAGGACCATGGCTTCCCAGGCTGCCTAAGAGGTGGGCCAAGCTTCTGAGAAGGCCTTACTGCTCCTGAAATGGCAATAGCTTTTCCTGTCTCTCTTGTGACCTTTTTAATGGGAGGCAAGAAATGTAAAAGGAAAGTTGTCTCTTATGCTAACCCTCTGTTTTAAACACCCCGCCTCTTAGTCCCAAGATAGGGTATTACCAAGGTCTTCTCAAGTGGATGGTGCTAATCTTAATGGGAGTGGCTCCCCCTGGACTCTGGTTGGCTGCCCACACTTCCTGGTGCAAGCAGAAGAGTTGGATTGGGTCTCAAACTGGGGTTTCAGCAAACAGGGAACACTAGGCTCATGTGTAGCCGGGTATCAGTGATCTGTGGTGTCTTTTGTTTGTGTTTAAATCTTTTTATTGTAAAGTATTACACAAGTAAAAGTGAAGAAAACATAAGCCTGCAGCTCATTGAACTGTCACAAAGCAAATAGCCATGCAGCTACTGTCTGGTCAAGAAATAGCAGGTTCCTAGCACCCCTATGCCCCGGTCCAGTCACGGCTCCAGAGGTGACGACTCTAACGTCCCACACTGTGGTGGCAGTTCTAAAACAACAGCAAGTTTAGCCTGTTTGTGAACTTGATATAAATGGAATTAAACAATATGTATTCATGTCTGAATTCTCCCACAGACATGATTCATCTGTTCATCTATTGCATTTATCTATTTTGTTATATGTATCAGTATTTTGGCCTTTATTTTTATTGCTGTGTATTATGCCACTGTGTGAATGTACCCCGCTGTGAAAAAAAAAAAAATATATATATATATATGATGTGTGTGTACATATATAGACACACACATTCTTCTGTTGATAGACTTTTGGGTTGGCTCCAGTTTGTGGCTTTATGAGTAAAGCTACAATGTGTATTTTGTGTGTCTTTTGGTGGATACATGACTCATTTCTCTTGGATATAGTGTACCCAAGTGCAATTGCTGGATCATAGCATAAGTATATATTTTACTGCACTAGAAATGAGCAGTTTTTAAAGTATCTGTACAACATTTCTTCTTGTTTGCATTTCCACCAGCAATAAATAAGTGTTCCACTTGTTTCACATCCTTGGCCATTATGGTAAATGCACAGTGGTATTTCACTGTGGCTTTAATTTGATTGCTAATGAAATCCAGCACTTTATTACATTTTATTTATTTAATTTTTTTGTGCCTGGTCCAGGTCTCTTGCTCATTTTGGGGGTTTTAATGTTTTTTTCTTTCCCTATTGTATCACCCACCCCCCAAAAAACTGACTTATAAGATCTTTATCTACTCTGGATACGTGCTCTTCTTTTGGCTCTGTGTTGAGGATATTTCCCCCTGTTCTGTGGCTAATCTTTTACCTATCTTAACTGTGTCTTTGGAAAACAGAAGTTCTCAGTTTTAATTGAGTCTAATTTATCAAGTCCTGGGTCACAAATCAAGCACCATATGGGCAGGGGTTTGTTTGTCTATCCTGTGCTAATGCCAAACTATTTTAATTGCTGTAGTTTTAGAATAAGTCTTGATATCTGAAAGAGCAAGGCTTCCTACATTATTTCTACAGATTCTTTTCTATAGATTTTATCAAAGTAAGGATGTTGCCCTCTATACCTAACTTACTGCTGCTGTTGTTTTTCAATCATGAGAAGATACTGAATTTTATCAAATCTTTATTCCATATCTATTGATTTTTCTCCTTATTCAAATATTAAACTAACTTTACATTTCTGGAGTAAACCCAAATTGATTATGATATGTTATCCTTTATATAAATTGTTGTATTTAGTTTGCTAATATTTAGTTAGAATTTTTGCATCTTTGTGAGTGAGATTACGCTGTATTTTTTCTTTCTCTTAATGTTCTTGATTGGTTTTAATATCAAGGTCATGCTGACCTTTTAACGTGGGTTGGGAAATATTCTGTTTTTTCTGTTCTCTGGAAGAATTTATGTCAGATGGGCTTTATTTTTCTAATGTTTGGTAGAATTTACTTGTAGACATTTGGGGTTTTCTTTGTTAGGAAGATTTTTAATCATGGGTTGGATTTTTTTACTATAGAACTTAATTTTTTTTTTTTTTATATCATGTCATTCTAGATCATTTTTCCCCTAGGAATTTGTTCATTTTATCTAATTTTCAAATTTACTGGTATAAAGTTGTTTATAATATTTTTTCATGACTTTTCATTTAGAAATAATATCAAATTTAGAGAAAAGTTGCAAAAATACAGCCATATTTTTATAGTTTTTAGTATATAGATCTTTCACTTCTTTTGATACTTACAATAGAATTATTTTAATGCTATCATAATGGGATTTTTAAATTTTTATATTTCTGATGCAAGACTTTAGAAATGGAGTTGATTTTTGTATATTGGTCTTTTGTCTTTCAGTCTTTCTAAACTCACTTATTAATTCTAGTTGCTTTTGTGTAGATTTCTTGTAGGGTGGGTGTAGAGTAGACTGTGCTCCGGGTCCAGATTAGCCCTACTCCTGAGATAGGGCTTTCCTAGGGTCTCTGTTGAATGCCTTGGGTATTCACCAGAGTTTCTACATTCTGCATGGTTGGAATTCAGACATCTTTCAGCCTTGTGGAAGCTTTGGTGGAGTTCTTTGGGTAATTTTATAGCAGCCTACTGGATATATGTGCAGCTTGGAATTCAGCCAAGTCTCAGCTGGAGCCCTATAGACATCTGTGTAGTCTCCAGTTCCAGCTGCTGCTGCTTCCCGCAGCCTGGTTCTGCTTGGTGGGATCACAGTGCTTTGTTTGGGAGTCCCCTCCCCGCACAGTTCAGAAAGCTCCTCCAAGCAGAAGCAAGTGATGGCGGGCCTTGCCTTGTTTCTTTCCCTCTCTCAGGGACACACAGATTGCTGCCTGTAGTTTAATGCTGAAAACAGTTGTTTATTCTGTTTTTCCCAGTTTAACAGCTGCTCATGGTGGCAGGGCTTGTCCAATAACAGTAAACTCTATTGTGGTCGTATTGTTTTTAACTCCATCATATTGTTTGTACTTCGTAGTTCAGTTAAGCACCAATTATCATGTTGTAAGTTCACTGGAAGAGGCAATACATTTTAAGCAAATAATAATGTATAGCATGATCTCGTATGAATTAATTTTATGAGAATGAGTTTTAAAAATTAATTTTAAATGAATACTGTCACATTGATTGACTCGTTTGCTAAGCAAATAATAATTACCCACATCCTACAGCACTTGTATCATACCCATCGCTTTTGCCAGATGTACTTCTTTGGGGCTAGTTATTGGATATACTTGCTTTGGAGATTTTATTCTCTCTTCCTTTTTGAATCCTATGGAGATAGTCTTCCTTCTTATATCATAGGGACAAGCATTATTATTTGGATTGAGCTGACATCATGTTTTAGATACAACCATCATGTTTACTACATATTCATATAGTAGTGAATATAATTTTTATTTATAATATTTATTACATTCACTTTTACTCTAAAATATTATATTCACTTTTATTGTAAAATAACTCTGCATAGGCTTTCTGTCTGATGATTCAAACATTAGCTGAATGATTGGCCTAGGTCACTTTTAATGCCCTTTCGACCTTGAGATCTATTATTCCACAGCAAATAAAAATCCAGCTAGACTGTCTTGAGTGCCACTACAACTGGGTACGTTACATGAGAAGAAAAGCTGGCTTTGCCTTTAAAGAGTTTAGAATTTCATTGTTGCGATACCTGTGTGTGTGTATATATACACGTATATCACAGTTAAAAATCGAGTATGATTAATTGCAGAATGAGCAACACAACCCATCAATGCCTGGGATGTTAAGTCAGAGAAAGAGACACCCGAGCAGAAGTAGAATAAGAAAGAGTACATCTTGTCATCTTGTGTGGGGTAGTATCAGTGAAAGAGCCATCAAAGCAGGACAAAGGAGGACACATTCGCAGGAATGTCAGTTAAGAGACCAGCCTAGCCGTAGAAAGCTCTTTGGTCTTATTTTAAAGATGTGTTGCCAAGTTATGAACTATTGCAATTTTATCAACAATGGCATTTCTTTCAGCTATTACCAGCATGGTGTCTAGATTGGAAGTTTTGCAAAACTAAGGTGCCACCAGTAATTATGTTTCATTGTTGCTGTAGAGTAAAATATTCATGGAAAATGCCTCATCTGTCTCATGAACTACATCTGTTTGAAAACCAGGACAAATTGAATAGCCTTCTGAGATCTGCCTTTTTGGAGCAGCTCGGTGTTGGAGAAATTCTTTTCAGTTCGGTAGCTCTTCTCTGTTTGAGTCTATAGTTGATTCTGGTCTTTTGTTCCTTTTTAGCTTATAAGGATCAAGGTCACAGTGATGTTAAGACTGTCTTGCTGTGTTGGCATTGAATCTGGATACAGTATTCCTTGCTGTCTTTTAATTTTTATTTTGACGATAGAACAGTAATTCAAAGCACATTTTTTTTGGTTAATATTATTCAAATAAACCCAAATATAACATGTAAATATCAGGAAAAAAGTTTAAATAAATTTCCTACAAAGCAAAAAAGAAGCACTGTAATTTCTTTCCATTAACTATGACCTAAGTTATAAAATATTTCTATAATTTAGTTATTGAATATGAAACATGTATAGTCATTTTAAGAATGAAAATCCCAAATAGTGGATTTCAGTGTGCTATAATTTTCAGTTGCAGAACTGTACATTAATAGTGTATCATTCTGTTTGAAGATATCAAATAAGCTGAAAATGTGACTAAGTGATATATTGAAAGCTTTATGTCTTCCTTCAAATTTTCTAAAATCATTGTTTAAAAATCGCACAGTAATCACGCTAAAATCCTTGCTCTGTAAATTCTCTTTTTGCTCTGGCTTATTTTTGAGGCAAAAGTCAGACTCCTGATTGAGAGTGCTCATTTAAAAGAACAGAAAACAGTGAAGGGAGGAAAAGAAACTGATAAATACAACTTTGCTTGGGGTCAAAGTTGAATGTGAGTGTGTAACATCTATATCACTCCACAGAACCGTTTTGAAACCTATTCAGTAAAAATTTTAAATGTTTAATACTTGATAGACTTTAATTCTGCATTAAATTATCTATAATATCTGATTCCTGGATAAACTTAGAAAATAACGGGGTTTTTTTCTGCTTTCTCATCATCTCATTTGTGATCACTGTAGGACCATCTCGATAGCTAATGCAGCATTTCTAAGGTCTGCTAAAGGCCATAAGAACCAACTAACTCCATTGAGATGATGGAATCATTTTTGTTGGAGAAGAAATGGGAGCAAAGGAAATTTGGTCTTAATGTTAGGCAATATAAGACTTTCTCTCTTTCTCTCATGAATGTATATTATATTCATCTTAACAAGATAGAATTTGGCCAATAATATATACACTATGGCATATGCTTTTGTCAGAAAAATGCGTAATGACTTTTCAGAGCTTTTGGTGCTGTGCAAATAACACATGTACTTCCGTGGTTGTTTTAATGTCACTTTTGTTGTTTATTTTTGGCAGATAAAATAACACAAGAAGATCTTGAAGGCATTTTACAGAAATTCACTGGGAACATAATGCAGGTACCTCCCCTGTAAGTTCAATTATTGAATTTGAGTACATGTTTAGTTTTATTTGCCAATGGTTAACATCACTTGAATGAAAAACATTGACTTCTTTTTATGTATGGTGAGGCACGTTTTAAATTCGATATAGCAAATGATCAAGACGAGCCTGACTTGGACACCAAGAGAGGTGGCGTGGTGCCCTCTATCCCTGGATACTGCCACACCTTGATGTCTTTGCTCTTGGTGTTTATCCGTTTTTCTGATTCCGTCTGCAGACACCAGGGCAGTTGTGGGACATAGAGAGGTCGTTTTCCCCAGAATCGCTGTGAAGAGGCCAGTCCAGTTGGGATAGGTGTCTGAGTTGTGAGGGTCCTCAGGTCTTGGACCATCCCCAGGATCTTATGCTTCATAATTCTCGGCAGAAGAGTTATAAGTTATGAAAAGCATAAGAATATTGATTTAACACTTAACCATAATTTTCGTGCACAATACCATTTCAAATCACTTGTTACATTTTAGATGGCTCAGTGGCTAGATGTTGTGTCAGGATACATTATTGATAATCCTTTAGAATTTAGTGGTAATTTTGTATTTTAAAATATGGTTTTTTGAATATTGAAGTAACTATGGGCAAGTGTTTCTTCATAATTTTGCCTCAAATGTAAAGATTTGCAAATTTTAGTAGGAGATGAATAAACATAATTTTGGATCATTATTGTTAAAATAAATTAAACATATTTATAAGAACTGTTTTAGAATTTTCTTCTCTGTGATTTTTCCAAGGATTTTGTGGTCTAATAAAATTTTATTACACAAAGTTAAGATCTGTTAAGTAGATTACTTGCTTATTTGCTTTTCAGAAACATTTTGGTAACTTTTATGTAGTAATGAATTTATTGGAATGGAAAATGTTTCAAGGAAATATAGCTGAGATCCCCGTGACCAGAGGCCTTGTGCCCTTAACTCAGAATGAGGTCCAGTGAAGACGTGACTTAACCGTCCCCAGGAAGATGGTTAGAGAATAAAATTGACGAGATTGCTTATTGGGCACCAGATCGAGCCCTACCTGTCTCAGAGATATTTAGGAACTCTGTTCCTGACTCCATTATGGAGTAGATGAAAACAAATCTCTAGTCCCTTTTTTTCAGAAGGATTTTCCATTTAAAGGACTGCTAGTCGGCATTGTCGTTCTCCATTCTTCTCTCCCTCCCTCTCTCATCTTGAAGCTATTCTGCATTAAAGAAAGATGGACAGAGGCTTTCCACGCTGATGAAGAGAGGGGAAGCAGTAGAGGCAAAACCCGCCAGGCCCGTCACTGTGTACAGCCTCTCCCTTCAGAAATTCCAGCCGCCGTTTTTCACGTTGGGTGAGATGGAGAAATTCGAAATCGTTTATGTTTGCATGTACTGTTATTTTCTATTCAGCTACTTTTGAGTGATTTTAATGGATTCTGAGGATATTGGAGAGTTTTAAAATTCAAATTTCAGGAAGGGTAGGCTTTGTTAATACCGTTTTGATAACACAGTTAATGAGAATACCTACAGCTGGAAGGCCAGAAATGCCTTTATAAATAGGCTGAATTTTTAAAATATATTGTATGATATTATCTTTCTGTAAAGTTGTAAGTAACATACCTTAGATCTCTACAGGGAAGAGTAGGGAAGGAGTATGCCTTTTCAGAATTTTATATTTTATAATTTATTGTCTTAGAGATACTGTTCCCTCATCAATATCTGATAGTTTACCTTCAGTTTTAAAATTCATGCTAATTTGTCCTTTTTAAACAAAGAACTTTTAGGTTTAGGACAAGAAATCTAGGAGTGTTGCAATTTTCCCCACCTTCTTAACAAAGTCATTGTCAAAGGTCATGAAAATATGGAAATAATGCACAAGGCAAAAATGTATTCTTGGACATGGGGTACATTTTAATTCAGGTTATCACTTTGAATTTATATAATAAAGTTAAAAACCAGAACATTTGTTTTGATTGTTTGGAAATTGTATGATCTCCTAGTTGCAAAAAAGTAGTAGCTGAAGCCCTAAACATATACAAGCTAGAGTTCTTCTAATTCTTAGGCTTCCTTGAATTGATCCTATCCTTCGTTTCATGGTGCATTCTAAATAGGATTCCTCTAATTTTCCCAAACCTTTTCCCTAAACATTGTGCTTTGGCATATTATCTAATGTATATTAAGTTCCGGTAGAGTGTGGTTTTTGTACAATTGAAAAAAGAAGTTACTCCTTTCTTCAGTTACCTGGTTCTAAATGTTTGACAAATAATGAGGAAAAACACACTAAAAGATATTTTGTTCCATTTCATGAAAATGCAGCACTGGGTTGGCACAGTAGATATTATCTATGAAAGTGAGAAAACCTCGAGCATTTAAGCTGTAAATATTTTATTCTGTTCACTGGAGGTTGTGATAGGCCAACAGAGTTGACTTTTCGCCAAAGTCAAATATAGTGCAAGAATGTTAGCACACCCACATTTGATCCTAGTGCTCATTTTTTTGTCAATCCTCACCCGAGGATACTTTTCCATTGATTTTTAGATAAAATGGAAAGGACGGAGGGAGAGAGAGAGAGAGAAACATCGATGTGAGAGAGAGACATGGATTGGTTGCCTCCCACAGGACCCCAACCAGGGCTGGGGATCGAACCTGCAACCCAGGTACGTGCCCTTGACTAGGAATTGAACCCACAACCTCTCAGTTCACAGATGGACACTCTAACCACGGAGCCAAACCCGTCAGGGCCTACTTTCTAAAAATTTTTTATCCTATTTGTAGGATACGACTAGAAACCACTGGAATGTAGTCCTTTTGTGTGGAAAGTTATCATGTTTTGTGGAGGAATAAAGATAATTCAGAACCCTGCTCTTAAGCAATAAACTTGTGTTATACTGTGTTAAGGAGATGTTTAAATATGCATTTAGTTTGGGGACATTGTGTAATTTTAGTTATTTTGTGATTTCTTTAGGAATATTTCCAAGGAAACATTTAAGTGTTCTGAGCTCTCCATGTAGTGTATTACCCTAAACATAATTCCTGTCCCTGAAAAGGATATTTTTTGTTTGTTGTATTTGTTGAGTGTACAAATCTGAAAATATTTTTAAAATTTGCAGTTCATGACAGCAAAGCCGAGATATCTAACCATTTCAAACCTAGTAAATGAACAAGGCATAGAAATCTGAAAATATTTTTTTGAATCTTCAGCTCATGATCACAAAGATGAGATTTCTATTTAAAACCTATTAAATGAACAAGGCTAAAGTATTAAAGTGGTATGATTTGCCAGTTAATTTAAAACGTGTTCATGAGTTTCTGTGGTTTGCTTTCTCCACACTCTGACTTTTCAATCTCACAAACACATACCCTGCAGGATGAATAATTTATGTTTTAGTGCATAAATATTTTATCACTCGATTGTTTGCATAGTGCATTTTTACATTTGTTTAGAGGCATCATTTCTATGTAAAGTGGATTTCATAGGAGGTTAGCAATTTACCCTGTTACTGTTAACGTTCCAGATGTTGAATGTGGAGGAGGTTTCTATATCAGAAGCTTGGTCAGTGACATTGGCAAAGGTAAGCATGAAGATGGATTGTGAATGATCATTTAGAGAGCCGTGCCCCTTTCTGATGAGAAGGGGGCTTTCTGTGTGTCATCGCTGAGTGCTGGCCGTGTACACTCCTGCAGCCTCAGAGCATTAGAGGCTACGGCAGACCGGGACCAGCACCAGCCGCTGCAGAGAGACGCTGTAACGGGAGGACAGAGAGGAGCAGAAAATGAAGATGGGAGTAAGGAATGGAAGGACCAGTGTTTTTCCAAGCCCAAAATATTTGAACCCAGAGTAGGGATAAGGAAAAAAAAAAAGATTTATCCTTCCAAAAGGTATTTTCATTGGTACAGGTCAAATTTTAAAAAAACTGGAAGCCATCGTCTTACAGAGGGCCAGGAAGTCGCATTGTGGCTCCAGTATTTGCCGGCCACTGTGACCCTGGACAGCTCATATTCCCTCCTCTGCCTCTGGAGTGAGAGTAATAGTTACCGCGTGGGTTCAGTGGGAAAGGTGTGTGTAAGTTTCTTGTAGACTCTGAAGCAGTAAGGTGATTTATTAAATAATGTTTTGCTATTTAATAATTTCTTTTTTAAAAAATGTGTTTTTATTGAGTTTTTAAAGAGAGAGGAAGGGAGAAAGAGAGAGAGAAACATCGATGTGAGAGAGAAACATCAGTCGGCTGCCTCCTGCACGCCCCCTACTGGGGATCAAGCCTGCAGCCTGGGCACAAGCCCTGACCGGGAATCACCCAGGACCTCCCAGTCCCTGGGACCAAGCTCAATCCACTGAGCCGCACCGACCGGGCTAATCATTTCTTAATCTCAAGGTTCTTGGTTCTTATGTTGGATTATTTCACACTTGGAGTGATTTGAATGGAGTTCTCCTCTCATTTGAAAGTGTAGACTGTAACGTACAGACTCATTTCTCTTGTGGATTTTCTTTTCACCTGTTGTTGCCCTAGCGCTCTCGTCCTGTGCCAACGTTCTAGAACTGACCCGCACCAAGCAGGGCCCGTTCACGCTGGAAGAGCACGCCCTTCCTGAAGACAAGTGGACCATCGATGACATTGCACAGTCTCTGGAGCATTGCTCGTGTCTTCTCCCAGCAGAGTTGGCACTTAAAAAACCAAAACCCGAGGAGTCTCATGAACAGGTTTTGAGCTGTGAATACATAACTCTCGATGAGGTGAAGAGAGAAGATGATGTAATTAAGACATGTTAACATTGGCATGGGTCCTCATTCCTTGGTTGACATTTGAATCCTGTGTACACAATGACAAGCTACGTGCAAAGAACAAACTATTCCTATTTTTTTTCTTTGGCATGAAGAAAATGTCCATCATTTACAGTTTCTATGGTGCACAGTTTATCTGCTACACATTACAAGCAGCCTTGCAGTTGTTCGGTTCTTTGCTGTACTCTGAAATGTTCTAGGATATTATTATGTTGTTGGATTGAATTCGGGAAAATCAGCTTTCTGATTTTAATCTTGCTTCAAAGTCGTTTCCTGTGAAAAAGCTGAACACATTTGCTAATCAAAGAAAAAAGACGTAGGAGCTACATGTTTCTTTGGTGGCAAAAGTTAATGTAAATTCCTGTTACTTTGACTTTATTTTGGCTCTCTGGTGGCTCTATTGTATTGAAATTCTTTAACTGTGTTTGAAAGGCCACTATTTAACTCTTGTTTATGTTTTGGAGAGTTTGCAATTAATAAGAACATTTTTTGGGGGGGTTGCATTTATTTGGTAATAGCTGTGTTTGCTTAGATCTTGGACACTAATGAACTTTTACAATACATATTTGTAATTAAACCTAATTATTGCTGCTCCCACTAAAGGGCTGTAAATCAAGACTAAAGGTTTAAATTCATCTCTACTCTGCCATTAGTTCCAAGGACAGCCCAGTGGCTTATATTTTGGCAGCTATGAGATCTTTTCCCGATATTTTCAACACAGCTGACCACCCTGTACAAGTTACCAAATAACAGTTTTTAAAAAGTAAGCTAAAGAATGTATCTTCAATAAAAAATGTTTTTATTCTCTAGTATTTATTTATACCTTTTTAAGGACACTGTTTTTTTAGTTTGCTTTCAAAGGATATTTATAGACTTTGAGATAGTCCCCCTATATTTCCAGCTAATCTCTTCTGCTCTACATATTTAAAAAGTGATTCGCAAACATTTTCATTCAAACAACCTACTGAAAATGTTCTCTCCCTTGTTATCATAATTTTGAGAGCACAGTCACATTGCAAAACAGCACATTCCCTCTGTAATGAGTGCTTCACGTGCTTGTCATGGGAAAGCAACCTGTTATGCAGCCAGTCTCCAGAAATGTAAGTCCGGTGTCACTTATTCGATGCCTAAAGATAGTTTCAAAAGGAGGAATCAGCATTTTCATAACACAGGGAGTTTTTATTTTTATAAGATTGCATTTCTTTTAAGGTGGTCGCCTACTTGCAACCTCTAACTTGAAAATTTTCAGTGTGAAAACTAACATGATTTTATTTGTGGCTAACCTGTTAGAAACCCAGTGTAAAAGTCAAATGCTTCAGGAGAGCGTTTTCATCACATTGGCAACATATTTCACATGAAAAGATTTGAAAGTAATTCTTCGTGTGACACAGAAAATTACAAGGAAAAGAGTTTGATATCTTGAGGTATTAACTAAAATGCCAAACACACAAGGTTGCAAAGTTTACAATTTTACTGATTCATATCCAGCGCCCTGCAGATTGTCAACCCAAAGTGGCAGTGGCCACTTATCTGTTGGAGGGGCCCAGGTTCGGGGTGTGTTCATGCATCGCCGGCCAGGATCCCAGTAGAGGAATATTTAGTGGGGCATTTCTGCTCTCCATCTCAATTTAAAAATTGACATATATAATTTATTAATGGAGAAGAGTAGAGATGATTTGAATAGACATGACTTTACAATAGTAACCGATCTTTTTCTTTTATTTGAAAACTGAAGAAAATTTTGCCAAATGGAAAAATTACCCACATTCTTCACCGCCCGGATGCAGTGACCTCAGCACTTTGGTTTGGTATTAATATTATTCCTTCTGTTCACATAATTAGAATCTTAAGACACCTATCCTTTTTAGTTGGCTGGTCTTTCATTTCCTATTATCTGGTGTAATTTCATTTCCTATTATCTGGTGTGTGATAATTATTATTTTAATCATAGTCATATTCAGTTTATTTAAACTATTTTCTTATTACTGAACATTAAGTTATTTTCAGTTTTATTAGGAAAAATTTGGGGGAGTGGGATTATTAAGTGGAATAATATGAACAATTTTATGGTTCATAATATGTTTGCCTTATTGCTTTCCCAAAGAGATGTGACATTTTAGCGTCACCATTTCAGTATTATCAGTTCACTAACAGTTTACTGCTTTGGGTGGGGGTTTAGTATGTCGTTGTTGCTAATTTAGTAAGTATAAAAGAGAGTTTAAAATTGCTTTAATCTGCTTTTGTGTGACTTTGTGTACTTTGTTCATTTATATAAATAAATGTCTTATGGTTTATTATACATTTGTATGAGTTATTTATGCAGGAAATACTGGGTAGAAATATTTTTATGGCCTGTGTTTTTTTTTTTAATTTAATTTTTGCTAATTAAATTGGCTAATTTTAATAATGCTTCACCTCTTATAATAGTCAGATTTCTGCGTATGAATAGTTAAAATTTGTTTAAACTTTGAAATATTATTCATAGCTCTCATAAGCAGCTGAAACAGATCAAGATGCTCTTAAAATCTTAAGACACATCCAAAAACAAATTCATTTTCTCCCAAGAGTCTACTATTTAAATACCAACATTTTTTTCTTTTTAACCAAAATGTTAAAGCAATGTCTGTTCCTTATGTATTTCTAAAGGCCTGGAAACTAGGAAGTGACTTCTTTTGTATCTGGAGCTCCTAGAATTTCAAAACTGTCATTCTTGACCTGTAAGAATTCATACAATATCAGTGGTTTTCATCTTACCTGCTTATATAATGACTTCCTCTTCCTTTCCTACTATCGGGAAATGAAACAATTCCTGTCTCCTCCGAGTTTATTCTGCCTTGCAACCTCAGTTGTCTGATGGGCTCCAGAAGCTGTCCAGATTTTTCTTCTCGTTGGGGTGGTGAGCACCCTCTTGCAACTATCATCCTAAGGGGAAGCATAGCCGTAAATAATGCTCTAATATTTCCCCCCAGCATTTATAGTTGCAAGGGTTTCGAGGTTATTTTGTCCACTATTTTTACTAGAAATGGAACTCTCTATATCCAAGGAGTAGTTAAACTGAGTTGAAACACCATTATAGCTAGCTTTATATCCTTAGAAAATAATTTTTTTTTAATCCTCATCCGAGGACATTCCTCCATTTTTTGTTCAGATAGAGTGGGAGGGAGAGAGAGAGAGAAATATTGCCGCAAAAGGAACACACACAGGGTGACTGCCACCCGCATGACCCAACCAGGGCCGGGGACAAACTGCAACCGAGGCATATGCGGGAACCGAAAGAAAGCTGGTCTCTCCGGACTGCAGGTCAACGCTGAGCCAAACCGGCCAGGGCCGAAAATAATCTTTTGATCTGTTGACTAATAGCAAAGCATTTAACAAATTAGCATTCTTTTTTTATTTTTATCCTCACCCGAGGACATTTTTCCATTTTTTGTTCAGATAGAGTGGGAGGGAGAGAGAGAGAGAAACATCGACGTGAAAGGGACACATCGAGTGGCTGTCACCTACACGACCAACCAGGGCCAGGGACAAACTGCAACCGAGGTACGTGCCCTTAGCGGGAACCGAACCCCGGTCTCTCTGGACTGCAGTCCGACTCTAACTGCTGAGCCAAACCGGCCAGGGCCAAATTAGCATTCTTATATTCAAAGTACTTTAACATTGATTGACTTTTAATTCTTCCATTCTAGGTGAGAAAATTAGGAAAGTAACTTTCCCCAACTCCAAATGCATGCATTAGTAGGGACGGGACTTACAGGCCAGATATTTTAAGTCATTAATAATCTTTTGGTTCACACAATTGACCACATGATCTAAAAAGGTGATGCCTGGGTGATTTTATTTCGTATCGTTTAAATGTGTCAGCCACCAAAGATACACGAGTGCCTTCGCGTGGGGGAACGATGAATGGCAGACAAGCCTCGAAGACGCAGGCCCGCCTTTGAACAGCTTTCACATTCTGCAGATGGGAACTCAGGAAATGTACCTACGAGAAGGTTAAGCAGTGTGCAAGGCAGTACTGTCAGAGAGGGGGATTGCCAAATGCTGGGATATTTAATGGAGCAACAGTTAATTGGTGCAAACTTCTGTTGCGCTGCGAGCAGTGGCCAGGACGGCCGCCTTGAGGAGGACCTTGACCAGCAGGCGATACTCAGACTTAGGAAAGGGGTTCCGGGGGGCAGAGTAGGTCTAGCGAAGATGGCAGAGCACCAGGCCCAGACAGGAAGGAGGAGGCTGGTCGGGATGGAGAGGAGCGTCCACATCAGTCAGTATGTGGTTGAAAAGGCAGCTTGGCGTTCTACTGTTTGGGACCTTGAAAGACAGAATTAAGTGACACCTCGCACGGAAGCTCTACGGTTCGGAGGTTCGCCTGGCAGTTGTGTGGCCAGAACCGAAGAGGCGGAGACACAGGGCTGGGGCCCAGTTAGAACTGAGTCTGGGGCCGTAATCTGGGATTGAGGCCATGAAAATCTCCAGACTAGCATATGATCACACACTGGATGTTTGAACTGCTTAAAGAAAAGTGGATGGTATTCAGTGATTTATTAGATAGTCGAGGGCCACGGAATGGTTAGCCATAGTCACCAGATAGTTTTTCTTGAAGCGAAGCTGCGTTTCGGAATAGCTAGCTGCTGCGTGGCCGTTGGGTGGTTGGTATAGTTGCCCGAGATAACGACGACCGTGATGCGTATTCGATTTTTTTCTTTAGAGCCTCGAGTTCCTCCGTGATCACATAGTGAGCCTCCTAGAAAGAACTGCTTTTTCACATCTCTCCAAAGAGCCTGGTGTACAGTAGGTTTGTTGAATTTAATCTATAGTTAGGGTTTCCCAGTTATTACTTGAGGCTTTATATCATGCTCGTGGTTGAGAACATGGGCTCCGGAGCTGTAGATTTCCAAGTTCTGCTTGTCATCAGCTATTAACCCAGTTTCCTCCTTTGTAAAGTGGGTGTATTAATAGTCCTCCTTTGTCAAATTATAAAGTCCAAATTAGGTCATTCAGGTAAAGTGTTTGGCATGAGTCTTAGACCGTAACAGGTAGTAAACAGAAGCCAATGCCACACACCTGATTCACGTGTAAGAGAAGAATGAATCTGAACTTCTGGTTTATGGATTCAAAGTACATGTTTTAAAAATGCTTTATAAGAAATTGTTTTGGTAGGAAGAATGGAGCTGAAACGAAGATTTTCCTAACAACCAAGATCATTCAATGGCACAACAGGCTATTGCTGCCAATAGAAAAAATCCTTATGGCATGTAGATGTCCACCTTTTGTATATTAACTGTACTAAAGTATACTTAGTAGACATACACACCACTAAAATTAGCAAACCCCTTTTATTTCCATCATCTCACTCGACCAGGCAGCAGACCTGGGGAGTAGGAAGGGTCCGTCAGCGTCTGGTTTTGGTGAAGAACTTGAAGGAGCCTCGAGCGTGAGGAACTTGCCAGGAGTCGCATAGCCAGAGCGGCGGAGCTGGGCCTCTGATCCCAAAAGGCTGTTCCTATGACATCTGGAGAAAAGGGGTCTGGAGCACAGATGTTTAGTGGGAGGGCTGAAACACGTGCTGTGATGCCAAAAAAAAATTGCTGGAAATAAAAGCAGAAAACAAGACATTTGTTTCTGTTCTAATAGGAAAGAAAATCAGGCTCTTGTGGTTTGGGCTGGAGCGTTCCGAGAAGGGGGTGGGGGGACCACTTTTGGAATACTGCATCTGCTTCTGGCTAGTCATGACCGAGCTGATG